TTACTGAACTAGTAGGGGTAGGGTAAGTAACTTTGTTACTGAACTAGTAGGGGGAAAGTATGTCACCTAATTACTGAACTAGTGGGAGGTGAGCAAGAAAGGTGATGTCACTGCAATATAGCAGCCGTTTTCTGTCATTTTATTCCTATTCTAATAATAATAATAATAATTTTTAAGCTACTTTCTTTGTTGTCAAACAGTCTCTGTCCATCTCTCAAGAGTATCTTTGAACATGGCATGAGACGACCATCAATATTAGGTGGACCCTGTCATCCCTGGCTGTTTATTGAAGAGGTTAGAAATATATTACTAGCATTTATAGAACCATCATTTGCACTGCAGTGGGTTTTATTCTTTGTTAACACAATGTAGAAAGAGATGTCTGAAACAACTGTAGCAATAGCTCCTCATTTTTACAGGCAAGCCAAAGAGAAGTAGAAAGAGATTTCCAGTCTGTGTACTCAAGGCTAGTGTTGTGTAAAACGTTCAGGTAAAGTAAACAATGTACATTTTATGTGATTGCTGTCAGGAGTTAACCAGTACAGTACTGATTATAAGGTTTGGTAACTTGTACAGTATATTTTTGAATATTTCAGACTGGATGAAGATGGAAAGGTTCTTTCACCAGAGGAAATACTCTATCGGGTGAGTATTTCATCTTCTTTCACACTACTTGTTAGCAAATACTAGCTCTTAGATGCATTCTTTGTTGTTGTCATCAGGCAGTGCAATCAATCAACATGAGCCATGATACGGCAGGATCACAAATGGATGTTAAGGTAGATTTCTCTTTGACAAACAAACAAACAAATAGAAAAAATAAAGCAAAACTCTATATTTATCTTAAATTTGATGTTTAGTTCATCTTAATCAATTTTAAGTCAATGGCTTATCATTATAATATTCATAATGTTAATTATGARACTTTCTATTTCAGTTTCGATCATTAATCTGCTATGGATTAAAGTAAGTCAACTAATTTTTACTTTAGTCTATATTTAATACCTCAGACTGTTTTTGTAATTGCTATTTCCTACCTCTAGTGAGCAATGTCTACACCTATGGCTGGAATCACTTTGTGCTTGCGAAGACACTGTTGCTAAATGGTATTGTGCTATTCAGAAACAATCAGTATTGACCTAAATATATCATAAAATAGTATACTACATAATATCCTAAGCTTTATGCTATAAAAATACATCAAGCCTTACCTTATTAAGAATGGTCTTACCATAATTGTCTCCTCAAATACGAATTGAATGTAGACAAATGTTCTAAATATTTTTACTCTCAAATAGGTATCATCCATGGTCATTCCTTCGCAGCCCAGGGTGGATACAAATCAAGTGTGAATTAAGGTAAGATTACAAAAACAGACATGAGTCATACTGGTACATGATCAAAGGAATCATTCATGATCCTCTAGTTGTTGATACCTCGTTCCAAAGACTGTATAATTTTGCTGATTTCTTTTTCATTATTATCATTGGAATCATTGCTATTATACAGTTGCAGTTACTAGTATGAGTAATTGTTGTTATAATTGTTTTCATTCTTTATGTGGTGTTATTTTCACAGAATTCTTGCATCATTTTCATTCAATTTAAATGTCGACTGGGAACTCACCAATGAGCCCAAGGTATGAATCAGTTAAACATTAATATTGAATGTTCGATTAATTTTTTTTTACTAATAGGATGCCCATTTGATTTTTAGGCCATTATTGACCCAATTGTAGATGATAAACATTTACAGGTAAGGAGACTATTTCACTGCAGTTTTCCTGAGTCCTTTTTCCTTTCAAATCAGATGTGATATTATTCCTGCATTTGTTTGGCATATTAATTGTAGCACAACTAACTTTTTTATTTTTTCTTATTATTTGTCTCCTGTTGTGGATAAAGCAGCAGGTGAGACTTTGATTTTTTATAAAATTAACTTTGTCTTTATGTTGTATCTATTATGATTGCTATACATTTTGCTTTTGCAAATTTTATTTATATAAACACTCTTACTGTCTGCATGTAGTAACATTCGTGAAATCAAGTCAATTCAATACACATTCGATCCAAACGATACATATTCGATCCACTCTGTACATATTGTACTCTCGATATTACACGTTATTAGGGTTTAAATACTAAGGACTAGTTATTTTTCAAACTCCTGTTCCAAAGAATGACTTGACTGATTTCTTGATACCAATAGTTATATTTGACTAAACGTCACAGTAAGCTAACAGTACCCATTTGTTGCCTAGGTAACACAGCCAATGAAAGACGGAGTACGTGACATGTTGGTTAAACATCATCTCTTCAGCTGGGATCTCTAATATGTCAATATTTTAGAATATTGCTTGTAGATTGGTAGAAAACAGAGGGTTGGGGTTGGGTTGGGCTGTACAGGCAGCAAGGAATGATAATATTATTCTTAGCATATTTATTCTTAGATTTACAAAATAGAAATAATAATATTCAGAATATTGTTCTTCAGAAGTATACATTGTAAAATATATTAGGGCTCTAAGTCCACAAAGGTCAAGTCCAAATTTATTGTGATCAACATTTAGAATCTCAAAGTTAGAAGAATAACAATTGTGAAAGTAAGGAGAATTTGGAGGCTCATAAGGTTAATGAAAATATAACTTCTCAATAGATTGGACATATTTTGTGCTACATAAAACAACCTAAATAAATAGGTATAAATGTTGGCAATGCTTTATTGGCAATTCTTTCACATTGAATGGCAAATCTTTAACATTTTAAACAGTGTTAGAGCCATAGAAGTGGTTAGTGAATGAAATGAAATTATTAATGAATGAAATGAAAATGAATGGAAATTGCTTTTGTGATTGAAAGCAGACTTAAATATAAAGTTTGACGTCTATGGAAAATAGTATATTTAAATGTGTTTGTCTATTTTTACATACATTAAAAGCCTTACATAAAGTAATGATAAGTGAAGTCACAAACCCTTGAAATAGATAAGAATTATGTGAAAAAATTAAATAACATCAACTAGAATGATATTTCACCAAAGCCTTGTTAGGACAGTGTGCAAAAAATGTTTGTATCTGGAAATTGTTTTTGGAGATACAAAATTTCTGGAATCTTCATAGCATTTCCACACCATCTCTATCTTCTCATTTGCTGTGGCTTTTTTCATGTCCTCCTCTCTTGAACATGAAAAGATAATGGCATCCATGTAATGAGCTTTTATTATCTAACCTCCGATGAACAATTTTGGTGTGGATGATGATGAAAAGCATATTATTGTGTGAAGATATCACTTCTTCGTGGTAGAGATTATCTTATTTTATTGAAGCATATATAATGTCAAATTGTCTGTTTAATGTGCTGTATTTTTTTACTATAAAGTCTGTTAAATAAAATTTTAATTATAAGGTGATAAACAAATAAAGCCATTTGAAGTGTTGTTGTACATTTTCATTTATTCAATTATTTAATGCTGTTTGCAAAGACTCAGCTACAGTCAACTCTCGCTATTACGGACACCCTCCGGACCGTAATTTAGTGTCTGCAGTAGTGTGAGTCCGTAGTAACGAGAATTACTTTCAGTCATTTCTTTGTTTRTTCGCAGGGGATTCAGTATTTTACTGTCTGTTGTAGCGGGGTGTCCGTAAGGCAAAAGTTGACTGAATTACCCTTTGTTCTATTTGCGCAAATGGAAAAACCTTAAATTGTCCATTTTAAATCAGCTGCATTTTAGCAGTGCATCATGTAACAAGACCTTACATTTTCTGTTTTAGACCCCCCCCCCCTCCCCCCCACTTGTTCCAGGGGCAGATCCAGTGTTCAATGACTGCACAATGTTTCTGCTTCTATTTGAGTGGGCATGAAGGCACTTAAAGTGATTCCACTTAAACCATGCAACTGTACAAACTAAATACAGTAAACTCTTGTAAGTGACCACATCGAGATCAGGAAAAGTGGTTGCTTACGAGAGATGGTCGCTTACGAGAAAGTTTTTTTACAGAGTTTATATGGGAGTTAACAAAATGGGAAATTTAAAAGGTGGTCCCTTACAGGAGATGGTCGCTATTTAATTGTATATTTTAGTAAATCACGCATGCGGTACAGAAATGAAATTGAAGTGATACAAATGAAGCATTCAAAACCGTCTTACGTCAGGTCCACTTTTAGTACAAATTAGTACTTTTTAGATTTTGTACAGTTGTACGGTTTAAGTGCAATCACTTTAATATGTGAACTTGTGCTGACTATTTTGTGCAATTTAGTAAATGGTGTTCAAGGAAAATGGGTGAAATCCAAGAATGATTTGCTTCAGTTGCAGATTTAGTGCAAATTTGTGTTACTTTGATTTTGTACAAAGATTAAATGTATCCACTTTATATGAAATTAGAGTGATCACACTTAATCCGTTCAACTGTACAAAAGCTAAGTAGTATTAATTTGTACTTAAAGTGGACCTGAAGCAAGACTTTATTGAATGCTTCATTTGTATCAATTCATTTAATTTGTGTACCGCCCGGGGGGGGGGGTACTCCCCCGAAACTTGGGTGGGGGTGTGCCGCTGGGACCTCAAAACCCTGACCCTGTTCCAGAGTGAAATCGCTGATAACTATACCCTGTTCCAGAGTAAAATCGATGAAAACGATACTCTGTTCCAGAGTAAAATCCTGCACTAGCTTGCGTGTAGACCGAATTTTTACCCCATGAATTTTTATCCAGCATCAATAATTCCGGAATTCAACCCTGACCCTGTTCCAGAGAAAATTCGTTCAATTGATACCCTGTTCTAGAGTAAAATCGCTAAAATCGATACCCAGTTCCAGAGTAAAATCGGTGAAAACGATACCCTAGCTGGCGGCACGTCCCCGTATAGCGAATATAGGGGAGTACCCCCCCCCCCCCCCCCGGGGTGTACCGCATGCGCGATTTACTAAATACAACTAAATAGAACTGAACTGTTTAGTTTGTACAGTTGCACGGATTAAGTGCGATCACTCTACTCAAGGATCAGGAAAGTACAAATTTACACATTCAGTTTGAGTCTTGAGTTGTATTGTATAAATACTTTACATAATACATGATTCTATAATCTATTTACACTGTGATATCTCCATAATCTGTATATTATAATTATTTTTTTTAAATCACAGGTTTTCTTGCATTTCTTCTACTTATTTTAAAATCTACACAACAGATTGTTCAAACTAAGAATTGTTGTACAATTGCTTAGTACTGCACATATCTGTATTTCAATATAAATTACTAATATTTGCAAAAATGTAAGTCTTCCTCATGATTAAGTGTCATGTAATATCCCGCAAATGACTGGTGGTAAAGGCAACATGTTCACTTTGTCCTTTGGTACGTATTTTAATATTGTCTTACAGCACTGATCCTGCAGCGATGTATATTTACAACTGCAATCCCCAATTTCTACTTCAGATTCAGCTGCAGTTGATGATACAATGGGGTAAAGTTCTGGATAATCAATGCCAACTCCAGTGAATGCTACTCCAAGTAGCTGCTTATTCTTGAAGAATGATAAAGTTCCAAAATCCATATCCAGTAAAATACCAATTACAGTTGCATCGAAAAATGGATCACAGAATTTTGTTTTTATCCCATTGTGCCAGATTTCACCCTTGTGGGAGAGTCCCCAGCTTTGTTTGTCTCGACCAATCAGGTTGACATATTCATAGTTACCAGTATGCAAAGCAGCATTCTTAGTCCCTACTCCAACCATGACTGATGTGCCATAGATGTCGCTGAGTTTGACCTCCCAGTAGTGTTTTCCATGTGTAAAAGCCTTATTACCTCTCACGGCAGCCGTTCCCGTGCTCATAGTAACAGGGTCAGTATGGAAACATGCAAGTCTGTTATCAAGACATAAGTACACGTCAGGTGACCTGTTATTCTTATCCCATGTCCAGTGTTCCTTGAATGAGTCTGTCCATGGAGTGAATTCATCTTGATGCTCTTCAATGAGAAAACCTACAAAATGCACAATGCAAAAACAATGAGTTTATAGATTGACTGAGCTGCCTTACCGTTTCTCTAGATTTTATTTTCAGTTTTAGTTTAAAAAAATAAGCACCTTAAATTTCTAAAGCTTTATACTATAAACCTAAAGTTAATCATCTAACAATTTCATTAGTTTATAGCTCAGATTTCAAAACAAAGAGCGTTCAGCTAACATCATCATTCATTCAAGAGTTTTTCTCCGCATTATCAACTACAAACCTTGCATTATCTGGCCGAGGGAAAGCATTTTCTTCAGCTATTCTTATGCCATACAAAATTAAAACGAAGAAACGATGTTCGGCCTTATTTGGAAGCACGTTTGTAAAGAAACCAGTCTTTCCAGTTATTCAGGTTTGGGGGGAGGGACGGAGGTGTGTTTGTTGATAACGCAAAGGCTCGTTCTTCTATAATTTTTCAAACGTCATCAAAAAATAAATCAAATTAAGGGACATAAGGCCGTGTTACAAATCTGAGATTTCTCCAAATTGCAAATATAGTATCTGTCTTTACAGTCCATTTGTTCGTTTGTAACACGCAGACATTCCGAGATTACGCTCCATCGGCCATCATAATATTGCGCAACTTACCCATTTTGTACGATTTTGTACAGTGATAAATCTATCCGATTTCTGAGGCGTGTATTCTTCACTTCTTGGTTTCAGCTTTGACTATACTTTCATCAACAGGATTTACCAATCAACTCTATCAGTCGCGACTGCAAGACTTCTCTACTTCTCGTAAGTTATTTTTTGAGAAGAGGAAATGTTCACAGAAATATTTTACAATTGACTTTTACCGTTGCCTATATTGCCTGTTTTTTACGATCGGTTGAAATCAGTTCAAAAGGTCGAACTATAAAGGAGAATACACTCTTCTCGTTTCGATTACTATTACTGATGTTGTGCTAGAAATGTCTTGTTGTCATAAACCAAAACAAACCTGTTCGGCGGTCACATGTCACAACACTTGCTTCGTATTGGTGGAAATGGTAAACCGGAAAATCAAGCTACGCGTCCCGGAATGTCTGACGTCACAGGGAATATCAGAAAAACGTTCTCTCTTTTGGCAGTAATATAAGTGAGATTTTTTAAATGTGATTATGTATTTTTTATAAGCTTTCATGAGAGCATTTGATAAGCAAGACGCTCTGTAACAGCCAGAGTATCAGGCCTTCGAGGGGGGCTGGGGAGAGGGGAAGGAAAAACAAAGTCCCCTCTCCGTTTTTTTATAGAGAGCCTGACACTCAAGTTTGACGCTCTGAGAACGCGTTTTTGCGTACAAGTAATTAGAATTTCGTACAACCAGGTTCAGTTGATTTTTATTCAGCCGGATCTGTAGACTTTCTCAAAGTCGTGTTGAAGCAATTTATTCTAGGATCCCGTGCGAGGTACCCTCTTGAAAATCTAAATTGATTGATTGATTGGAGGCTCATGATTGATTTTAATCACAGTCATTTCAAAATGTTTAATTTTCATACTCCCAAGAACTAACTATTTTCAATGTGTGATAATCAATGTCCTTTTTTGTCATAAATAATATATATTGACATTAATCCCATTCCCGCCATCAAGGACCACGACTATTGTGAAATCGTGTCCTACAAAAAAGTCCATTTAACCTATATCTTGACCCCATATTCTTATTTCAATGGACAGAATGGACAAAGAATCGAACATCGCACGTACTAGCCTTTTCAGCGTGCTAAGATGCACGAGCCAATCACGAGAGGAAACGACTTTGAACCCTTTTAGTATGTGACGTCACTGAGCCCACAAAATATTATCAGCGGGTCTTGTGTGAAGATATAATTTAGGCGGAAAAGACAGTGCAGCAGAGATTTTAATTGTGCGAAAAAAGTCCTTTTTTATCTGAGGGAAGGCTTAAAGAGGCACGAATACATATAATATGGCATTAGTACAAACAAATGTATGTGAACCATTCGACAGAATATCGCAGAGAGAGGTTTTAGCTCGAATATTAGCCGAAGATGTTGAGCCTGACGAGTTGAGCACATCGGACACTGAAATTGAACCGGAAGAACAAGGTAAAGATTTCCTTTGTTGTACACGAAATATTCCATTCAAGCAGATAATTTAATGTCCAATTATCATATCTATGTGAGAAGTTTTTTGAGATAATACAAATGGAGAAATGTGAAACAGAAATTTTGTTGTCGCCATTGGTGGGAGGCCGATGTCCGCTCGACTTCGGTCTTCTTCGCTTCTTTTGAGCGAAGACGTCGTTGGGGGGTTTATGTATAAATATTTCCATCCTTTATCAACTGCATTTTAGCCATTCAGAGAACCTATTTCGTGTATTTTCTCGTTTTGCAATATAAACAATATCCAAGCGTATTTATATGGGTTGAATCTTATGTTTGCATACTAATTATGTCTTCGCAATATATTTTTGAATCAATTCTTTGATATCTCATACTGGAAGAAATAACATTTTTTTAGATTGCATGATGTTCAAGCACTATAAATTTCGCTTTGGTACATTTTACATTAGTTGGACGGCTGCCAACAATCGGGCTGTTGTTGACAAACTATTTCTTCTCATCTAAAATTCATTTATCAATATCTAATCAATAACCTCTACTGATTTGAATACAAACGAAACTAAAAAAGTGCTTTTGTGCTTTTTATTGTTTTCATATCAGCTTTTGTATTTTCTTTCCTAAATCTTTTATTTTCTGGATAATAGTTCATTGTTCATTCTATAATCTTTAATATTAGTAAACCACACACTCAAGCCCCACCCAAATCACCTAACACTGGGCGTGGTCTGTTAAGTCTTGATATTCTGGGACTGGTTTTATGAAGAGTGGACAAAATTATCCTTCACATAGATTTTATATGGGTTTTATCTGCTAGATGAGAATTGATCTGGTGGATAGCACTATTGACCCTTTGCACTTCTGTTCCCTAGTACTTATCAGGGAATATAGCTTTTAGCTGACGTAATTTGATATGTTGAATTCAAATGCCTTTGATAACTTAATACAAGTGCCTACTGTTTACAGAATTTTAGTCATTTCCTTCAATACTATTTTATTTCAATCAAATCCCCAATCTCCCATCTTAACACCYTAAGGTATCTCTTGCTTGTTTAATCACGTGAGACAGGAGAGAAATGGTAAAAAAAATCTCAAGATTGGATTCAAAATCTGAAGAAAACTGCTTTTTAATCATTGAAATTGTAACAGAAGGGCTTGAAATAAAGCTGTCTTATATTTAACTGTTTTGATCCATGGAAACAACAACACTAATGAGATGTAGTTTGCATGCAATTCAACCCAAGAAGGTGATTATGAACGGTCAACAAACAATACTCACACCCAGCTTACTATGAATAACTCAAAACTGTAGCTCAACAAAACATAATGATTACATTAATGTGTTTAACATTCCTCAAACAAAAAATATGAAAACCTTATACCATGTAGCACAATGTTGGAAAATGGTTCTTTCTTGATAGAAACTTGAAATATGGCTTGAGATTACTTGTGTTTGCTGTGAATAATAGTAATAGGAAGTAAAACAAAATAACTTCATTATTTTTGAACACAAAATTTAAAAATTCATGCATGGAGTGGAAGCATTTTGCAGCTGATATACCAATATAAATAGTGCATTCAGCAGCTGTACAGAAAAGATGCTAAAATGGGACAAACATGAGAATGGCCATTATAAAAACATTGGATATACGATAACCATGACTAACCTACATAACAAAGACAAATCCAAGATGATTTCAAGATTGTTCTGTCAGGATAACACACAAATCCAGTTACAAGCAAACAAAATACCTCTTGAAGTAATCCAATCCATTGTCAGAGCAGAGAAAAGTGGCTAAAGCCAAGATTGTTTTTAAAAAAACTGAGGCCATTTTATCCAAAAGGTTATCTTTTTTGATAAATTCTTTGTGTTTTTGTAGCTGGATGTTTTTGTTATGACTCTTAAGCTATTACTGCTTAGGAAGTGACAGATATTCCATGCAAGGGCTACTTGACAACAACACACATTACTAACAGTGCTTCAAGACATTATGACTACTTTTTGGCTTACTTAAACTCGACAAGACATTAACAAAGAACCATAACAACATGACGACAATGACTGGAAACTAGGACTTGCTGGAACAGACAATAACACAAAAAAGATGGTTGACTTACAACAGACGTAACTAATATGACAGAAAGGACAAAGCTAATTATTTTATACTGAACAGCAAACAGATCAGGACTGACAAACTTGACATGACAGTAACAGAAATGACCATTCTTAAGCCATGATTGAATTGCTTTTCACAGATAAAGGATGAAACTCTGGTCTTCAATCCATGGTTGCCTTCCTTCTCCAATCAAGGCTTGTCATAGTCTTGATGAAAAAGGAAGATTGGGTGCAGCAAAGGTACAGTTAAGGTAGATAAGGTAATTTTGCAAGCTTTTTCTGAAACAACAAATCCATTGTTTTTTTGTAAAATGAAAATTCAAAAATGAAAATTAATTGAAAATACTAATTATTGCACATGTGCATACAATTCTAATGGATAACAATGTATACCAACTTTAAAACTTATAGTTGATAATATTATTGTTTTAAGCAATAAGATGTAGTCTTTAACTTACCATTCACTGTAAAATAGATGTGTCAATAAAATATACCTCAATAAACATACATTGTAATGATATGTGTGCACACATTGGATAAATCGTTTTGTTAATAACATAGATTACATTATGTGAATTGTACAATAATATAAAGAAGAGTGAATTAACACCCAGTCAAATAATGGTTATTATCTTGTGTCAGAGTAATGCAGCTTACTTTTGTTGTGTGCACATGTGTTTTATCTTTGTTTTGGGTCTGTTTTTGGTAGATTTTGAGGATGGTGTGGTTGACTTCCTTCTCCACAATGGACCAATGGTCTACAAAAAGGAAGATTATTGTTTGGTTTCTTTAGAATGGATTTCATTACATTGCACAATCTTTTGAAGTCATTATACATGCAGTATTTTTACACATCATAAGCAGTCTAAATAGTAATTTTCACTATTTATAAGTAGTGATTATTGTATTATGAAATTTGGTTTATATCTGTATATTTCATATTGGTTTGTCGGTGAACTCCTACTCTTAATGATATATTTTTGTAGTACTCCTTTTACCTAAGTGGAACCAATGTTATGAGGCTGAAAATGACGATTTTATTGCAATTTTTGGGTTTCATCTTGATTGTTTTTAGATATTATAGCTATTGAATCTAGAAACTTAAAGTCGTTTTCTTTATTCTTTTTCAGAATGTGAATGGAGATGGGATACAAATGTCTACCCTTCGACTTCCTTAAAGCATGAAGACAGGGAAGTACTATTCCATCCTGACTACAGCTGTGGTACGGCAGCAGCTAGAGGAGAGAGCCCACTAAGCAATGATGGAGAACACTTCTGGGAGGTGAAGATGACAAGTGCTGTTTATGGAACTGATATGGTAGGTTAATGGCAGAATATGGAACAGACTTGTGGATACTAGCCACAGTAGACAGTGAGCAAGATGGTTGTATGACAGTGAGCTGTGACTGACGGGTGCCAATCATTATGGACAGAAGACATTGACGACTTACAACTGACATTGACAACTTTGACTCTGAAGTGAACAAGATACTAAGCAACATTAGACTGTGACTGATGGGTGTCAATTATCCTTGATAAATGACAAACAATATGCATGTGATCTTATTGGTCAATAAATGGAACAGGTGCTATGACACCAGGCAACCATAGATAACACTACTTTGACATTCAACTACAACCAACAGAGAACAAAATGTTTGAACAACAACTGATGGATGTTAATCATCCTTGACACAAAACAGACTTTGACCTTGACAGTACAATGACACATGACCGTTTTCACCTCAAAGCAACACCGTAAAGTGGTTTAGATTTAATTTTAAAACCATAACAGAGAAGTATCATACCATTGAAATATCATGACCATTGCCATTTTAATTAACATGCTTTGATAATCATATTATGATAATGCACACGCAGGATGACACATTTATTGTGTAGCATGTATTTTGTATAATGCGTGATACGATCTAGTCTGAATATGATGATATTCTACACTAAGAGATAATTTTACCCTGCTGCAATTAAATTCATCATTTTGAAGCTGCTTTTTTGATATATCAGGTCATTAGATAATATTACGCTGGTATCCAGTCTTGCCGTCTTTCTGGGAGTGACAAGTCCCTTGACTTTCGTCACTTCGCGGCTCAAATTCCTGTCGCTTCATTTCTCGTTTTACTCCCAGAAAGACGGCAAGACCCTCTGGATACCAGGGTATTAGATAATGGTAAAATCCAGCAGCAGTAATTATTGTAAAAAAGACAAAAAAGKAGTACARATTTTCACGGGTACCATTGCAGTTATAAATATTTTCAGTGTAGATTACCCATACGTTTCTTARTATATTCCACAGATGATTGGTGTTGGAACCAAAGATATGGACTTGACAAGATATCATGTATCTTTCTGTAGCATCCTTGGCAGAGACAGTGAGAGCTGGGGGTTGTCGTACTTTGGAACAGTTCATCACAATGGGAAAAGTAAGGAATACACAACAAAGTTTGACCAYGGTACAACTATRGGCATACATCTAGACACATGGAATGGAAAACTTGCATTTCTAAAGGATGGGAAACACTTGGGTTTGGCCGCAGAGGGATTGAAAGGAAAAGAACTTTATCCAATGTTATCYTCTACAGCTGCAAGAACAAAAATGCGGCTCATGAGAAGCACTTCAGTMGGATTTTCACTTCAGTATTTGTGCTGTGCTGCTATTGGCAAGCAGTTAGCTCATCCTAGTGACATTAGACACCTTCCCCTACCCCCTGGGGTCAAGCATTTTCTTATGTCAGAACTTGACTGGATCTTCAAGGTGCATAGAAGACCTTCTACATCAGATGATGTCAGAAGTCCAAAGAGAAAGAGAAAAAATTAGACAGATTGTTGAAATGTTTTACTTGTTTAAGAATTTTGCAAAAAGAAATAACTGTATAATGATATATAAAAAGAAAATGATATCAGTGTAAAAATAGTAAGTGTTTATATAAGCTTTTGGGTGGTTTTCATAAGCATGAAATATAGTTTAGCYTTTATAGTACAATAATAAGAGTTTACTTTAGAATGTTTTGTAAATTTCAGTCTCCTGGTTGATGGTTTTATGAAAATCACTTGTGTACATAATATAATATAGATAATATTTCTTTTGTATAAATTATTTTCAAGAGATTTGGTTTATATTGACTTAAGCATGCTGAAATGTCATTGCGTTGTGTTAATAATATCTTTGCCTGAATTGTGCAAAGTTGCATTATAGTTAGTCAAGGAAGAACATTTTGTSGTTTACTGCAATTTTAAAAGGGCAGTAATTGTCCAAATATTGTGTTGTATGTTAAAATATTGTGGTTTGGAGAAAATATGATTATTGCCATCTAGAAATGTTTATAATTAGCATAAAATTAAATTATATTGGAAATTACTCTTCTGATTATGATGTAGATTGATTATTTCTCATCCATGAAAACAGGACTTTTGCGGAATGAAAGTATTTAATCTGTGAAWTTGTTCAAAATCGAAATTGAAAATTTAGTAACCCAAGCAGGACCTCCTTTGAATCACCATTGTTTGTTGCAAAAATGAACAAAATAGTTAAAAGGTTATTACAAATTCACGGATTAAGTGCATTCACTCTACATAAAATGTACAATGATTAATTCTTTTATTTTGCAATATAGTTGACCATGTCACAGTTTGGTGAAAATGGCTATACCTCATTAAAYTGTTTAGCAGTTTAAATAAAAGGTTTTAGAAACTTGCCGTCCATCTGTTTATTACATTATTGGTTTGTGGAAAGCTGGCAGGTAAGCAGCAACTTGTTTCTTGTAATTCTGGTGCACAGGTCTCTAGTTGATCAAGGATGACTAAGTTATGAGAACTGTGGAGTGAATGAAATAAGTACTGTAGCCTGTGTCACATCTGGACAAACTATGCAGGCTATAACTACTGTAGATTATTAGTGCCCTAATCTCCTGGGAATGCTTAGCTAAGTAGAGTAGGAAGACAGCTGTTGTAACCAAATCTCTGTTACCATTACTGCCTTTTTATCATTCCTTATGATTGAAGACTAGAGTGCAAGTCACATAAGCATGAAACAATTCTTAACTATGTAGTGCTAAATAAGATTTAGTTATCAACTAACTAAGAATTGAGAACAATGCTACAAAGGAATTTAAATAATTGGCATTGTGTTTATACTTTGTTGAATTCTTAGTTGATAACTAAATCTTATTTAGCAATACATATTAAGAATTGTTTCATGCTTATGTGACGTGCACTCTAGATGTTGGTCATGGCAACCATGACGCAGGTAGTCCAACTACTTCTGGAACCTAAATTTTCATTTGGAATTGACAAAGGTATGAGCAAATGCTTCTTCACTTTTATTAATATGCACTTAAAAATGTGGATTCCCTCTGTACTTCATCAAATTTCATGACTTGCTGGGTACAAACTAGTCTTGAAAACTAGTGATGTTGCACAAATATAGACTTGTGTGGCTCTACAACAGCACAGATGACATGCATTGTCATGGAGCATTTCTGTCAATATAACGATTCAAGAATACATCAACAGAACGTTTTTAGAACTACATTATTTAAAAGTGTTATTTCTTTTGCACAGTCATACGAAATATACTCAATGGCATGTCACCTATCTGTTACAGAAATAAAATGCTAACTGCAAACAATGTGTTTTTTATTTTACACTTTCAAAACAATTCGATAGAGATGTCAACTTAAAATATTACAAGCAATGAATTCTATTAATGTACAGCTGATCATGGTAATATCATCTAGACTAAGGTGAGTTTGGATATACAGGTTCCCCGTTATCTGATTGTTCACTTGATTCTTGAAGTTGTGGATCTGTTAAAACAATTCAAAGCATCAATATGGACTGAACTACGAATAGAATGAGATGTGTTTGTTTGTTTGTTATATCATTTTGCTATTTAGTGGTGTCATACCATACAGAGCTGTGTTGTGGAGCCACAAAAATTATTGCCTCAAAACATTTGTCTTTGCAGAAATTTAGTAGACATTTTGTACAAATGTATCATTTGACTAGAGTAAAATGCTTTGTATATTTTTATCCTTGGGTGCAGAGTATTTCAATTAGTGATTAGTGATATAGCTTGATGATTGTCAGATTGATCAATAGTGCATGTCAAACAGTGTACTTACAAGGYTAATGTTCAGGTATTGACTTCATTGACTCTATTGTATCTTTTGTAAGAGGACTGAGATACACAAATGCAGGTCCTGAAATCAGATATTCAAGCTTTAAACTGAAGTAAGCTTACAAGATGTTAAAAAAAACTGAGTTGTAATTAAGATTTAATATAAAATACATAAATTTTGCGAAGAAAACGAGACATACCAAAAAATCCCAAAGCACAAGATACAAATATTATTGGTTGAGTTACCCAGGCCGTCTTCAGCCAGTTTCCAACAACAGCAAATACCATTTTCTGAACCTTTTTCCACACAAARTTGATCCACACAACAGTATTGTGAGTATGCGCTTTTGGTGTACAGCGGTCTTACTTATCATTACCAGTCCTTTTCAGGTTCCCGAAGATGAACGAACGTTAAGTTATACGGCAAATTAATTTGAGAGTATTTCAAAATCATCATTTCACACTCCTCAAGATAATCTAYATTAAACTTGAGAATCTTTTATTGAATTTTGATTGATGGAGACGTATCAACAAGTTTGAAAAACAGTAAATTTGGACTTCGGACTTGTTTCGGTCCATTTACGGGAAATTCCGACTTTTACTCGTTCAATGTTCGTAAAAGTGACAACAAACGCCACAACGACGTCGACTACCACYACTAAAATAGTGAAAATGAATGCTCGTTCACAAATTTTTGAATTATCTGTAGAAGGAAGACAAATCGAAGAAGTTGTGCTTAGTCTTTTCCACACTATCTTATTTCACAGGACAACAGGGAAGTTTAATTACCAACAAGAAAGTTCTTACATCATCGGTACAGTTGGCTTTGTTGATGTTGATTGTGATTTTGTAGACTTCACTTATGTYCGTTGTGATTCAGACCAGCTCAATGCTTTTATACGTAAACAAGTCCGTGAATTCAAGGATGCTTTACGGGAAAATAATGCTACAAAAAGTGGGCAAATATCCTTGGAATTTTACCAAAAGAGGAAAGGAAAATGGCTTTTTGGTGTGGAATGTGTTCCCTGGGAAATATGGACAATAAAACTAAACATTATTACATTGTCAAACGAACATGAACGTCAAATATGCCGTGAAAAGGTGGGAGAATCTCTTGCTGAGAAAGTCCTTTGTATAGCAGAGGCAATGAATCGAAGAGATTATGTACCAAAACCGAACCAATCCGAATTGTCCAATGTCTTTGACGTTAGTTTCAGAGACGTTCAGCCATATCTCCATCGTATAAGTTACCAATATCAGACCTCAGATCAGTCTAATAGCTCTGTGGGAAGTACAGTGAAGAAGATGTTTCTAGACACTTTCTCATATTAAAATTTGTTGCATTTAAAAATATATGGTTAAGAGTGATGACACTCTCTGATGACCTCATCATCATCATCATTTGCATCAGCAAAGCTCAGTCATTCAGCCTGGTCTAATGTGGCAGATCAAGTTGATACAAAATCTTTGTATTTGATGAGCATCTTCTGATGCTTATCACCTTATTCATGACTTGTACCAAAGGATCAAGCCTAGAATRTTCCTCCTTCTCCTTCCCCCATTAACAACTGTTTTGATTTTTACTCTGAAGCATATTGTAAAATAAATAGTAAACTTACATAACTTGAATATGTAGCARTTGGTCACAGGCTGCCCAAGACTAATCCTACCTGTGTTTCTTTGTCACATTTCTGTGAAGTTTAGATCACTCAATATCGAAGCGAATGGCCTGAAACCTRACAGAAATGTAAAGAAAAATGCAACACACAGGTGAAGATATTTATTGCATTCTATATACAGTATTTTGTTATATTGATAAAAGCAAATATTAGCTTGGGCTACCTGTGGGCAAATGKGCAGAAGTAATCCTAGTCTTAKGTACAAATAGAGTCACACAAAAACTTCAAGGCATTATAGAGATAGAAAATTTATGTAATGAAAATCTTGCGTGGTAAATTGATGGATATTCTGTAGTTCATAAGAAATCAGATTGTCCACTTTTGTTAAACTGGAAATACCTACACAGTTAATCCAAACAGAGACACTTCTGGACACATCACAAATTTATTCTGACTTTGTAACTTGTATSTTCTTTCACCATCCATTGATACCTTTCTCCTAAATTATATATTTGCAGTTGGGAGAAAGGTCATGAAACTGGAAATTTCAAAACAGTTGTTCTTGTTTTTCGATAACTTATATATTTTTTTTAAATATGTACTTTCTAAAGAAGTTGCCTTGACAACCAGTTTTTTAATTTTCAAGCAAGTACACTTTTGACAGCTCAATTGCCTAAGTTGTCATTTTTGTCTAYCAATGCTGCCTAAGTGATGTTTGAGATCGCTTGAAGTGAAAGTGTTAATATCCGTTAGAGACTWCAAAATATATGAAATTGTCACTCCGTATGGGTCAGTGTTCGAATTAAGCAATTTTCAGTAATTGGTCTGTAGCTCCGTTATAATTTGTTCAAGAGGCCAAGTGACTGACRAGCCCGTGACAACTATGACGTCACAAACACTCAATCTTCTTGAAGCGACAAAACATGGCGACCAAAATGCCAACAAACGCGCGGCAAACTTAGTCGTCTCCTCTGGGACCAATTTATCCTAATCATCCCWAAAAACTGATATATTAGCCCGTAACATGGTCGATTTGTGTAAGAAATATGGATTAAATGTTGACTCCGTCATCGAACAGCTGCTTGACTACAAAAACACACCCGGCAAACAGGTAAACTCTGCACTCCTCGCAACAGCGCAGTTGAGCCTTATCMTTTTTATGGGGGTCGATTGTATCAGTGCTTTTAACACTTTTGATTGCAATATAAACTATACAATCAATTAAAGATGAAGGCAAATCGTATGTTTGCATGGAAGAAAATTTTACGACATGATTATAGTTATCTTATGACATTGAATTCAATTTGGGATTTAGCCCGAGGCAAATTTGCATTAAGCTTAGGTCTAAAGAAAATTGCAGCCTGCCTACTATCCCGCTGTTCTTCCAATTAAAAAGGAACTACTTATTAAAATTTATTATATTAAGTATTGCAAATTTTTATAACGGGATTCTAAGAAATATTTTGACTATTTTTGGATTCCCATCCAGTACCATCCTGAATAGGAATATATAAAAATAACTCAAATAATGGAATTTGAATGCACTTTCCCTGAATATAACTGATTATATTTTTTWATCTTGTCTAGGTTCAATTACCCGAGGTTCAAATAAGAGCACTTTGCCAAGTATCAAGGGAAATCTTTCTGCAACAGCCAATGCTTGTTGAGTGTGGTGTACCCATCAATATATGTGGTGACATCCATGGTCAATATGAAGATCTTTTAAGACATTTTGACACAATAGGATATCCACCAAAGGCTAATTATTTATTTATGGGTGATTACGTTGACAGGTACTGGTTATTGTGATAAACTGAAWGCTGCAAGTCACTTCTTGTCCCTTTAAAAGACTTGTCAACTTTACAAAAMGACTTCTAGCTATGCTATAGGTGGTCTAACTAAGCWCAATTTCCATGTCATTTGCAAACTCCTTTATTGCCGTCTTTCCACAAATTATTCATAATGATCGAAATAACTGGTACATCAATGACAATTTGCTTTTATCAGAATTATTAAAATCATAGTATGAAAATTTTTAAGAATACATTAAGTGGAAATAGTCTGCATGATATAAATAATGAATGTTAATATCATCACACATGTTGT